AAAAAAAAAAAAAAAAAAAAAAAAAAGGTGTGACAGTGTATATTTCCATGTTCTAGCGGTAGATTCATTCGAGTTTGCTCATCCTATCGATGGAAGTAGCATGAGGTCAGCCTCGAGTTTGGAGACTTACCTGTTCAAAAGATCGATGGTACCGGTAGGGCATATTTGTCCAACGACTATCTTGTAAGGGCATGCTGCAAATTTGGTGTGAGTAGCGGTAGGGGCACTACGAAAACATATGAGGCCCAAACGACACCAGGGTTTTATGGAAAATTTGACTTGTGGTCAGATGGGCGCGGTGCAAAATATTGGAAAATACAGGGGTGCAACACAAATTTTCCGGAAAAAAAAAAACCGTGTCTGTGTCTGCCCACAAGCTTGATGTGCTCTGTGACAAAAGCGATCCGCTGGATTGTTACGGAGCACAAAGAATTGAATCAAATAGTTCTCGAAACAAGCACACATTGAATTGACTCAAATAATTAAAACAAGGCCTAGACAGGAGCCAAGTTGATGGAGGAGCGTTCACGTGAAAATAGTTAGGAATTGGCAAATCGGTTTGTTCTAGAAGGGTATCGTTAGACACTCCTAAAAGTGCCTGTTTTTTGGATTGCGTCTTGGTTGCATGCAATCCTAAATCCAATTTTGAGATAAAGAATGTGAAAACGGCGTTAGGATGAGTCCTAAAGGATTTCGGACTCCCCAGACAAAATCGTCCTAAATTTTCCAGTAGCCCCCGACCTAGTGAAAAATTTAGGATTCCCGCGTTTCACAGACTCGTTGAGTCGCGCGCATGGCACTGTCGACACGGAATTGCTGGTGCGGAAGCGGTCCATCGGGTCAGTGGTCGGACATCAGAGGTTTTCTGTGGGCCGACACGGGCAACGACCACGAATGGTAGCCGTTGGTGGGCGGGGTGGAGTGCGAGGGGCCGAGCGGGGGCAAGTGGTCGTCCACAGTGGACCGTTGACTCAATTGCGGGAAGCGGAGGAGGACGACGACGTGCGCAGGACGACATACCGAGGTGCTTCGGGCAGTGCGTGGGTGCCAACAGTCGATTTTTGAATCGACTGGGGTCCGCCTTTGTCGTCTTCTCTGGTGGCTGTTGGCATATGAAGGTCCACCGTCCCTATCCACCGGCATATTGGAAGACACTTCTGCAGACGTGCAGAGGAGATTGCCTCTGCTGGTACTCGCTGTCGTCATCTTCTTCCATGTGTGTTTGTCGTACCAGCCGTGGAAGCAACGTCGCAAGTAGAGGGCGTCGACGAAACGGCCGACAGGGGAACGTCCGATGGCGAGCATGCAGGCACGCGCAGAACTGGGTGTAGTTCAGGGCGGAAGAGGACCTGCAACGGAGGTGCCTCGACGGCGGTATGACCCATACTTGTACACCCATCTAGAGTTGTGGGAGACGCCACTGCCCCCGTAAGACGAGGAGGCAAAGACGAAAGAACTTGCAACGTTGCCTCTCGGTAGCGGGTCGACGCAGATGTTGTCGCAGACGGTGCGAGCACGCGGGTCGGTTAGCAACGAAGGCGGCGAGCTCACCTTGCTCCTGCGGCAAGGCTTGGGAGACGACGACGACGGAGGACTTGATCTGAGGTTCGGGTTGTCTTCCGGCAGCGCGAGGGAGGTGACCCGTACCTTGATCATCGATGTCGATCCTTCGCCACGTGGCCTTGAACGTCCTGGAAGTCAGCATAACGAGCAGTCCACACTTCGTGGCGGTGCGTCCGTGACTGCAGGTGTCGGCACGACAGCATGGATCGACAGCGCCGTCCGGTGAACGAATGACAAACAGCTGCCCCGCACGCAGTGGAGTCGCAGTAGGGTCCCTGTGCATCGGCGGTGGACGCTCATTGATGTCCAGCCGCAGAACGCCGACCCAACCCGACCTGAGGGACGAGCCCGCTTGCAGAGCACCGGTGCGTCCAGGAACCACTGTGGAGAACATCACGCGAGGAGTGTCCAACATGCGGGCACACAGCGATGGTGGCGACGACGATGCCGGTGGCGGTGACGATGCTGACGGAGGATTCAAGGAGGACAGGGAAGCAGGGGACGACGACGACGACATTCATATTCAGCCTTTGGGAAGGACGACTGGGAGGGGGAAAGGACACAACAAAGGTGTTGTTCGTGGACGATCCGTTGGCCGTGGCGGCATAGGAGGTGTAAGCCACGACGACAGGAAGTCTGTGGCGTACTGGTCTATCGGCGACCAACTGCTCCTAGTGAGATGCAAGCGGGAGCAAGAAATGCACCTCGCTGGGCTGGGTCACAATTATGGGCGGATGCGGATGAAGGAGTGGAAGTGGGACGACATTGTGAAGCGGATGGCAAACGCGGGGAGGCCTAAAGACACCGACGACTGCATGAAGAAGTGGGACAATTTGTTCCAAAACTACGAGAAGATACAAAGGTTTCAGAATGCCAGCGGCGAGGCAGATTTCTTCAGGCTGTCAAATGAAGAAAGGAAGGAGCACAACTTCAAGTTCCGGATGGACAGGGTGCTGTACAACGAGATCCATGAAGGCATGCTTGGGAACCACACAATTTTTCCTCCCAACGTCGCCAACACCGGCAGTCCGGACGGGGTGCAGCTGCCGAGGCGAGGAGCGGCTGGTGGGGAGTCTGTTGGTAGTGAGACCGACGATGATGGCTGCCCTAAAGAACGTTATTCGGCGAGGGACTCCGATAACAACGCAGGCAGTGGGGCTGAAGGCAGGAAGCGAAAAAATGCGCATCAACAGGCGTTGGAGTCGATCGTTGATGTCATGGACTGCCATGACGAACTGATGTCCTCGACGATCGATCCCTCTAACAAGCGATAATGCAACATTTTGACGAGGCGATGTGACATACCTGAGCAGGAAGTTGCTGTTCAAAAAGCGCACTACGAGGCGTCCGATGAAACACAGAATATGATGTGCTACGCGCTTCTGGAGATCGCTGCCGCCATCTGTGGTCGGTCGACGATGTAGGCCATTCAATCGCAGACGACGATGCTGCCAGCGCTGGCGATGATGATGATGATGATGATGATGATGATGATGACGGTGTCGGTGATGACGATAATCATGGCGAGAACGACGGTGAAGCTAACCGCCATGATCACGACAATGATGACGAGGATAATGACGTGGCAGTCGATCCACGATGACGTCGTTCACGTGGCGACAATACCGCCGCTGGCGGAGGCCGTGCTCTCGCCCGCCCTCACTTGGCGTGGGCAACCTATGCTCTCCAATTTGTAGTTCGTGCGAGTGCGGCTTTGGTCGCCGGTGTGAATATGGTCGGCAGGGCGGCCCGGATCGTGCCATTGTGAAGTTAGTTTTTTTTTTTTTTTTCCCCCCTATCTTTTTCGGGGTAGCTCAAATGGCAGATGTTGGGGAGAGTACGAAGGGGGGAACTTTTTTACCCGCAGGCATGTGAGTGTCTGTGTTTTCAAATTTCGCAGTGAAGGGACAATTTTTTGACATTGTTTTGCGATGAGTTTGCAAAGCTTGTCATCGGCAAGCCACATTAAACAATGTTGTCATCTTTGGAGTGGGACACAATTGTGGTGCGTCGCATTACATTTGCTTCTGTGTTTTTGCTTTTGTTGACATCGACGTGACGACGAAACGAACAGGACATGCGGGATTGATTTGTTGAACATCACATCATGGGAATACATGCCGATATTTCATATGTGAACGTCAAACACTGGATGAGCGAAATACTTGAAATGTTTTGCATGTATGCACACCCACATAGCAAGGTAAAAAGTGTGAAATGAGGATGCCATTCGGCAAAGAACACTTTTCAAAAAGAACAACAAAAAGGCCATTTTACCCGGGGAGAGGCGAGCAACCGCAACAACGATTTCCATTCACTTTCTTGTGATCATTGTCTGCCAATTTGCGCATGTACCATGGGGAGCGAAGGTATACAAGTCATCCCACCACACCGAACCATTCATGACCAACGGATTGAAGAAATACAAAAAAAAAAGGTTCTTCCAATATTCAACGTTCACGTAACTGTACGACCCACAGCAAATGCACCGCACCGTGACCCAGCTGAAGGCCAGGCCACCGTCTACATGACGAATACAACACATACGGATTGCCGAAAGCCATGCGGCGAAACAGGCAACCCGGCAACTTCGCGCACGACGACTACGGACTGGCTGGCGACAACGTGACGAACCAAACACTACTGTACACGGACCACGTCACAATCGAACCCGCCTGCCGATCATACTACCACACCTACCCTTCCCCCCCCCCCCTCGGTCCGCACGGTCCTACATCAAAGCTAGGCGGTCTCGAAGTGCATCCCGCAACAAGTCCCTGTCCACGTTCGTGCTCCGTTGCAGCCAACCCTCGCCATTCCCCACAATGCCCAAGTCTACTCTATGCCAAACGTTGTTCGCATCCACCTCCCACAAGGTTCTCGTCGAAGTCGATCCCCGCGTCCAGGAGGATGTTGTGGAGAGTGCAGATGGCCACAAATTGTTGCGGCAAGGTCTCCAAGTTTGTCTTGTGGGTGCGCAAGAACAGACGCCACATGCAATTCAGTCGCCCGAACGCCCTCCACACACCCCCGCGCCACCTTCTGCCGCGTGTCGAAACGCTCCTCGTCAGGACATTGCTCGATTCCTCCGTACGAATGGACGATCCATGGACAGGCGACTGGATAACCGTTGTTGCCCAACAGGTAACCTCACATGATGACACCGTGCGACATATTCTCCGGAGGTGCGTCAAACAACTCGCCACTTTTTGAACGCGTCCACAAATTGGAATTGTGCAGGACATGGACGTCGTGCATACTTCACGGGTATCCCACGTGGACGTCAAGGATACACAGATCCAAATCCACCACCACCTGCGCTTGGACGGAGAACTTTTGTTTCCGGTCGTAGTAGTTGTTTGAAGGTGCGCCTGCGGGCTTGTGTGCATAGTAGATTGCGCCGAAGCAGTTTAGTACTATGTTGCACGCCCGGCCGCGGCCGGGGGGTCCAAGTCGGCCGCAGCCTAGGCCGATAGCCGAATCGGCCGGGTTCTGCCTAGGCCGACCAGCCGACTTCGGTGCAAGATTTTTTTTTTTTTTTTTCTAATGCATGAAAAAATATATATAAATATGGGCGTGTAGGGCTAAAAAAACTCTACTCCTGTTTTTTTTTTTTTGGAATCCGACTTTGTTTAAGATTTTTTAAAAATCAAAAACTAAAATCGATTTAAACAACATTAAAAAATATATATAAAGAAAAGCAGGATTTTTTTTTGGTTATTTTTTATCATGAGATATATGTTCCGTGAGTTTCCCTGTATTTTTTTAGAAAAGAATTTATGTTTTTTTGCAGAAGTATGAGGTGTTTTGAAAATATGCAGATGCAAAATAAAAAAAATAAAAAAAGGGGTTTGATTGATTGATTGATTGATTGATTGATTGATGATTGATTGGTGGTGGGGGAGGAGTCGCCCCACCCCCCCGCCACCCACCACGTGCACACACACACACACACTCACTCACATTCGCGAGGCGATCTTGGAATCGCACGCGCATACGCACACACACACACGCGCACACACACACACACAAGCGCACACACACACACACACACACACACACACTCTCTCTCTCTCTCTCTCTCTCTCTCTCTCTCTCTCTCTCTCTCTCTCTCTCTCTCTCTCTCTCTCNTGTTTAGGCAAGTTGCATCCTGAAGTGGTGAAGGGTATCCTGAAGTGGTCAAGTGAGAGTTTTTGGCAGTCTGGAAATTCTGAATGGTCCTGAAGTGGTGAAAGGTCCCAAGTGCATGAAAACCACCCTTCACCATTTGAGGATGCAACCTGCCTAAACAGGTAGTTTTCAGGGTCTTCGGAGCTTTCACCACTTTAGGACCATTCGAGATTTTCAAACCTGAATAGTCCTGAAGTGGTGAAAGGTCCGAAGACCCTGAAAACCACCTGTTTATCCTGAAGTGGTGAAGAGTGTCCTGAAGTGGTGATGAAAAATACTACTGTTGTTAACCTTCTCTCTGACCAATAAAGTTTATGTCGAGGAAACTTTCGTCAAAGAAAGTGGTCAACTCCACCTATGAAAGGGAGTTGTATGCCTTGGTTTCTGCACTAGACACCTGGAAACACTACTTGTTAGGGAGACACTTTACTGTCTATTCAGATCATTCCACTCTAAAACGCATTAAGACACATCCTTGAGTCTCTGATAAGTTAGTGAGATGATCCACTTTCATTGATACCTTTGATTTTGAGTTAAAGACAATCAAAGGAAAGTCTAATATGGTTGCGGATGCTTTGTACAGGCGTGCAAACTTCTTTGGAACCATTGTCTCCTATCTCGATATTGGGAATGAGCTGCAGGAACAGATACGAAAGGGTTATGAGAGTGATCCTATCTGGAGTCCTATCATTGGGACCCTACGAAGAAACCCTGTACTATTCCCTGAATATCGAATGACTGATGGCTTACTCTTCTACATAGATAAAGCCGAAGAATGATTATAAATTCCTCACAAAGAAGAAATTAAGAGTCTAATCATAGGGAAATGTTATGATGCTGAGGGTCACTTTGGTTTCAAAAAGACGTATGCCAATGTTCGGGAATGCTTCGAATGAAAGGGAATGAAAGAGGATGTACTAACGTATGTGTGGACTTGTCTTGTTTGTCAAAGGAACAAACCCTCGCATGAGAATCCGCTGGGATTGTTAAGACCACTGCCTATTCCAAGTGAGTCAGGTGAGTCTATCTCTATAGACTTTATGAGCCTCACTAAGAGTCGAAATGGCAACAGTCAGGTAATAGTCATCGTAGATAGATTCTCAAAGTATGCTATGTTCATTCCTTTGCCTGCCGAAGCTAGAACCGAACTGGTCATCCAAAAATTTCAGATGCGATGGGTTCCTGAGTATGGATTCCCGAAGATCATCGTCTCTGACAGAGATGTCTGGTTCACAAGTCCACAATGGCAAAAGTTGATGGACGTCTATGGCAGCAGGTTTACCATGTCGTCAGGCAGACATCCTGAAACAAATGGCCAAACTGAGCAAATGAACCATCTATGCCAACAACTTTTGCGCATGTATGTCCGACACAATCAGATAGATTGGGATGAGAACTTACCTAAGATTGCTAGTGGCTATAACAACAGTATACATACTGTTACAGGACGAACCCTAAATGCACTGCATAAAGGTTGGAAGCCTCAATGAGCCTCGATGTCCCATTGATGCCTTAACTAGGGACCAGATTCAAAAGTTACCCCCAGGAACCCGTGAATTTGCAGTTTTATATGAAGAAGATATTAAAAAGGTAAAAAAGAATATTCAGAAAGCCTAACTTCATATGATTGAGCAGGCTAACAAACATCGTCAGCCATCGCAGTTCCAAAAAGGAGATCTGGTATGGGTAAGGTCAAAAGAATTTGCCTTGGAAGAAAGCGTGTCTAAAAAACCGTTGCCTGTCTACCATGGTCCCTGGGAAGTTCTCAAGGTGATTGGGGATGCAGATGGACCTTCCTATCGAATCGATGTACCCCCACGCCTAAGGACCTACCCGGTCTTTCACGCGTCTAAACTGTTACCGTATGTAGAAGGAGATAACTTTCCTAACATGCCATCTATGTTTCCACCCTCCATGAACGAAGGATACGAAGTTGAGAAAATTATGGAACATGACTATTTTTCTACATGTGGCAGAGGAAGACCCCAGAAGCAATATAAGGTAAAGTTCAAGTCTCAACCTCCATCTGAAGCCAGATGGTTTAAGTAAGAAAGAACTCCTACTTACTGCTCCTGATATTGTTGTTGCATATAAACGTGGGTTAAAAGGAAACTAATGCCTTTTCTGCGATGAAACTCGAAAATTGGGCCGGCAGGAATGCAATAACCCATGGTGTATGCCTCG